GGCCACTGCACTCCAGTCTGGGCGACCGAGTGAGACTCCAACTCAAAAAAAAGAAAGAAAAAAGAAAAGGTGGGGCTAAAGAGCCCCTCCCCCCAGTGTCACACTGTCTCAGCCATGAAGGTACCACACTCTCAGATCCGTATGCTCAAATGGAGGATCAAACACGACAAATATATTTTATCCATAAATACACTCACACTCTCAATAACAGCTGTGGAGTTAAGTGCTTTGAATGCACATTCTCACACAGATAAAAAAAACTTGCCATTGAATTCATGCTGATATTCCCTTATCCACCATCCGGTACCCTGTGGTCTATTGCTCTTTCTCTACAATCCCCCAAACCGGAGAAAAGGTCAGAAGTGAGTTGGAGGCACCTCCTACCAGAAAAAGTGCCCACAGACTGTTCTTGACCATATCATTGACCCACACCCGAAGGCCCTAAGAAAGCTGACAGGGGCGACAACAGCTCTGGGCTGACATGGCCCTGCCCTCCTCCTTCAGTGAGGAGGAGGCTTGTTGAAATGAGATTCTCTAACTGCTGTAAATAATAAACAGTTGTCATTGACCCACATAAATAGAAGACCAGCATAAGAGTGGGTTTTAGACTTGATCAAATCAGGGCTCTGGCTCCATTTTTCTGCACATCACAGATAACCCTGTTTTCAGGATGTGGCCTGTGTCCTCATACTGGCAGTTCTCAAGTCAGTTACAAGATGGCCAGCTGCCGAAGCCAATCCATCCGATTTCCTCATTCATATCCCATGATAGGGAAAAACAAATCTGACTTCCCACTGCTCTCTAAAATAACCCAAGATCATTCCCAAAACCTTCAGCAAATCTATCCTCATTGAGTTAGTCACTTACTCATCCCTGAATTAACAAGTAGCAAGAGAAGTGATACACCCAAGTACCCATCAACAGATTAATAGATAAAGGAAATGTGGCTTATATTACACAATGGAATACCAGTCAGCTTTAAACAAGAAAGAAATATTTGTCATTCGCAACAACACAAATGGAATTGGAGAACGTTATGCTCAGTAAAATAAGCCAAGCACATATTTCACTTGTGGAATCTAAAACAATCGAACTCCCCAGAAGCAGAGGGTTGAATGTTGGTTACTGAGACTGGGGAAAGAAGTGGAGCAGGTGGCAGAATGAGATGATGGTCAAAGGGTTCAAAACCTCAGCTGGATAGGAGAGAGAAGGATTTTTTTCCTTTGAGATATATTTCACAGCGTGGCGAATACAATAGATAATAATATGAGGAGGAACCCCCCCAAAACCAGGATTTATTTATTTTAAAATGTGCATTTATTCGTACCTATTTAAAGTTCAGTCACCTTCAAAATACTCCCCGTTTGATGCAATACACCTGTGAAGATACTTTTTCCATTGTGTCTCAGTAATGTTTGAATTCATTCCTTTAGATGCCTTTTGGTGCTTATGCCATTTTTGCTTTTACCTCTTCCCCATCGGCAAAATGTTTCCCTTTGAGAACTTTTTTCATCCAGAGGGGAAAAAAGTCACTTGGGGTGAGATTGGGTGAATAGGATGGGTGGGGCCTCGGGGTCATGCTGTTTTTGGTCAAAAACTGCCGAACACTCAGCATGGTGTGGGCAGGTGCGTTGTCATGGTGGAAGAACCAGACACCAGTTGCCACAACTCAGGACATTTCTTCTGCAAATCATGATGCAACCTTCCCAAAACTTCTAGATAAAGGCTTTATATGACTTTTTGATCCGGAGGAACAGATTTCGAGTGTATACAAGGGACCCACCCTCCAAAAGATAATTCTAGGTTTTTTCTGTTCCCCTTGCTGAGAGCCAATTTCAAATATACTCACTATAAAAAATAAGTAGTTGAGGGGACTGATATGTTAATCAGCTTGATTTAATTATTTCAAATATTCATAAACCATAACATCCCTTGGTACTTCATAAATATCTACAACTATAATTTATCAACTTACAATTAAAAATAAAAATTTTGTTAAAACCAGTAACAGGAATAAAATGGCTCAAGAGAAGACCAATCATCCCACCTCTTGAGTTAAGATCAGTTCCTCCGAAGGAACTGCAGCTGTGCTCATGGGGCTTGGGAGGGGGGAAGGATGCTTGAGGCATGAACCATGAGCCTACTACAACTTGCCTCCAAAACACTCTATTTTGCCACTAAGAAAGGAAGAGTTCTCTTCTTTGAACATATGTGTGTGTGTATGTGTGTGATATTTCAGTTAATTGAAGACCCAGTAGAGATCATCAACAGCAAACTGGAAGTCCAAGCCTTTGAACGCATTGAGGACCAGATCAAACTCATTGGCTATTTCAAGAGTGAGGACTCAGAATGTAAGTTGTCTGTCTCCCCAGCCTATCCATCCAAAGGCTAGATTCCTAACAAAGTTAGATTATACCAAAAGAGGATGGGTCTTTGACATCTCTTTTGCTAGACAGGATAGAGGTTAGACTGCTTTCTGCACCTAATACAGTGATATGTTTGTGTAAATGTTACGCAAACAGGCAGGAGAGCTGGAAGAACATTAAGATGGAACCATGTTATCTGGCCTTGACATAGGATGGGTGTTTTACAGAAGAGGGAAAAGCCCTTCCTCCACTTTTCCCACCTGCCGGCTGCCCAGTGGAATTGCCTCTAAAATGGGACGAACAGTGGTCTGTCTTCCCGACATTGGCAGCTCCTGTGGTCACCAGCTGGAGAGCTTCACAGTCAATTGGAAAGCATGAGAGGAAAATTCGGGTAGGGACGGACTTAGCAGCTGCTACAAAATGTGGAAAATTGCTGGCCAAGCCCACAGCTGACCACCAAGGCTGTCTGCCATAGTCCTGCCACACCCTTGGGCATATTCCCTTTGAAAGTTTTGTGGCCAGACTTTGGGCTTCGGGGCCCTATGATAGCATCCCCACAGCCCATTCGGGGATGAGAGGGTGGGGGGTGAGAGTCGGGAAGGGCAGGGAGAAGGAACCAGGAAGGGTAATTATTTGAGTACTGTACATTTTTTAAAAACCGCTATGGCAGCATGGGCCCAATGCGTTAAGTGTTTTCTGGTGTCTCAGCCTTGAAGAGAAGGAAAGCATGAGAGGGGGTGGGCATACCTATGAAAGAGACTCTAGTAGCATGTGTACAAGTAGGAGGTGCAAACGTGGGCCGCTTATGACTATTTTTGGAAATCCCAAAATATTTTGAAATTATTTGCAAAACCGTTTCTTTACCATCTGTCTGCTAGCGCCCTTAGTCACCTCATCAGAAACAACCCAACTGCTTTCTCTCTCCTGTGTCCTCTTCTCGTTTGCTTCATGGGCACCTGCGTTCATAGGGCTTTAACGAATGTGCCGGGGAGGTGGCTAGTCAGGGAGGTCTGACCCGACTCTTCTTTGGGGGACTTGTGCTGAAGACTCGCGTATGCCTCCTGCCTCTTTGATTTGTTTCATTTCCTTCCATTTCCCTTTCTCCTTTTGAGCCCCTTTAATTTGTTTCCATCTTTGTGTTTCTCTCTCCTTCTCCTTGAAGCTCGGGACAGATAGGAGGGAAGCAAGGCCAAGGTTAGGAGGGAGACAAGGCCAAGGTTAGGATCAGGAGCAAACCTTCTAGGACATTTCTTCCCCTACCTTAGCTAATAATCGTAATAATGGCATTTAACTAACACACTTTATAGGCCAGGGTCTATGCTAGTTATGCTAACATGGATGCCTGAATTTCATTCTCATAACAAGCCTGGGAGGTGATTACATTATTATATGCGTTTTAATGATGATGAAAGGATGGAACAGAAGGGTTCAGTTAACTTACCCATTATCACACAGTCAGTAAATGGTGGAGCCAAGATCGAAAGCCCAGGAATCTGATTTTAGAGCTTATACGCTTATCCACTGGGCTACATTTTTAAGACTTCGCAAATTTAGTAAGGTCATAGCACACAAAAATGTGATCATGTTTAGATGACATAAAATGGGGTACACTGGAAGGAGTTTGGTCTTAGTGAAAACATTTTTTCACTTTATTTATATTATATAATAATAATAAGAAATAATAATAGAAATAATAGAAAATAGATCACATATTGCATTGTAAAAATCTTACAGGCTAGGCATAGTGGCTTAGACCTGTAATCCCAGCACTTTGGGAGGTCAAAGTAGGAGGATTACTTGAACCCAGGAGTTTGAGACCAGTCTGGGCAACATAGCAAAACTTCATCTCTACTAAAAAATAAAAATAAAAATAAAAAAATTAGCTGGGCATGGGGGTGTGCAACTGTAGTCCCAGATACTTGGGAGGCTGAGGGGGACGAATACCTGTGCCCAGGAGGTCAAGTCTGTGGCGAACCGTAACTGTGTCACTACATTCCAGACTGGTTGACAGAGTGAAACCCTAAGAAAAAATTCCAAATAAATAGTTTTACATTTTATCGAGAATCTTGTGCTAGCTTCCAACAGTATAGCTTTTTTATATTGGGTTTTATGCTTGAAACAGCAACATGAAATTTCTGATCAATGAGGATCTCTTCAAATGTCTGATAGTCACCATAAACAAGAGACTTCACTTACACATGTGAATGGTGGCAAATGGAAGGACAACTTTCCTTGCTTTTTCTTCGATTGATGCACTTCTTTTCTTGCCATTGGACACGACAATTCGATCTCTGAGATATCCTTCAGGGGCCTGAGTATTTGTTCAATTAGGCAGCTATTACTTTCTCTTCACTAACACGTGTGATGTTCATATTCCCTAGGATAATTTGAATGGACTTGAAAGGGTTACAAATCTAGTTGAACTTTTTTATATTCTGTATTTCAAAATAATGAAGCTTTTCCTTAGGAATACACAGATATTGCTCTACTAGTCTTAATTGTTCTTAAATTTTAAATGATAAAATAGCTAATAAACCATGCTAGCCTCCTTTCTAAGGATGAAATTTTACTTTTAAATTGATAATTGTCAGTACATTATATATTTCACACAATATAATGGTCCTTGCGATTTTAATTAAGTACACTCAAGTTGGTGTTCAGCATTTTTTTGAAGCCAATAATTATCACTCAACATGTTTTCAAAGTGAGCATAATTCACAATTTCTTTTTCTTTTTGAGTTGGAATCTCACTCGGTCGCCCAGACTGGAGTGCAGTGGCTGCTCCTGGCCACCGCAGCCTCGCCTGCTGGACTCCGGCGATCCTTCTACCTCAGCCTTCCGAGTAGCCGGAATTACAGGCGCGCGCTACCACGCCTGGCTGATTTTTTGATTTATTGTAGAGATGAGGTCTCGCTGCCCAGGCGGGTCTCGAACCCGTGGGCTCAGGCCATCCACTCACCTCAGCCTCCCAAAGGCGCAGGATTACAGGCTGAGCCACCGAGCCCGGCTCACAATTTATTTTTCAATATACTTTTTGTTTTGAGTCAGACTCTCACTCTGTCATCCAGGCTGGAGTACAGTGGCACACTCACAGTCACCGTGGCCTCTACCTGGTGGACTCAGGTGATCCTTCTGCCTGAACCTTCCAAGCAGCTGAAACCACAGGCACGTGCCACCAAGTCCAGCTAATTTTTTTATTTATTGTAGAGATGAGGTCTCGCCAAGTTGCCCAGGCGGGTCTCAAACCCCTGGACTCAGACAACCCTTTCACTTCCACCTCCCAAAGTGCTGGGATTATAGGCATGAGCCACCATGCCCAGCTATTTTTCAATCTACTTCTTAGTTGACAAACTATTCATAAAACTCTCCTTGGACAGTTTTAACCTGTGTTAGTGTGCAACAGTAGAGAAAGGTCTGCTGAAATCCTTTCTTCACCAAAAGCTAAAATGAGAAGGGGTTATACAGGTTTGGATGTTATTAGTGACTCTTTCTTTTTTTAGAGATGGGGTCTCACTATGTTCTCCCGGCTGACTCAAGCAATCCTCCCACCTCAGCCTTCCAAAGTGTGTTAGGTGCCCAGCTAATCTTTTTTTGTGAAATGCAGACCCACAGGCAAATATTTATATGACAGAGCTTTATGGTGAATAAATAGTATTCAAATCTCAAGAATGTTTAAGGAATGCGATCTGAAGTCCTTACACCTTCTCTTCATTGCGACTGCACCATCAGTACATGAACTTGGGCAGTGTTTGCCAAATCCATTTTGACAGCCTCATCTACATCTTAGAATGTTTCATCCCCAACAGCTTAGTTTAGTTCTTCTTCATAAGACAAATGATGTTATTCCAAGTAGTCTTCAGGGCTTCTACCTGGTGGTATCAACCACACCCAGGCACTAAAATCTGATATGCAGATATCCAGCATGGAAAAACCCTGAGAGATGGAGAAGAGAGGTGAGGAAATGCCAAGATCAGTCTTTAGTAAGCAGGAGGCTGGGAGCTGAATGTTCAGGTGCCTATTCCACATGGGAAAGAGTCATCAGGGGAACTTGGGAGTCAGACTGGGAGGAACCGGGAAGAAGCTGGTCAGCATCAAAATAGGACATGAGGGAAAGAAAAGCCTGGAGATGACATGAGAAGAGACAGAGCAGGCAAGGCTAGGCATCTTGAAAACAATTACCATTTGGGTGAGGCTAAAGGTTTAACCACATTTTGAATTACCAACCTGGGGAGTCACCTTGCTCCGTCTTTATTCTTAAAAGTCATGTCGACCAGCTCTCCAGGGAGGCTCCTGACAAAGGAGCCCCTGTCTTCCCTTAAAAAAAAAAAATATTATCTAGGCATGGTGATAGGTGCCTGTAGTACCAGCTACTCAGGAGGCGGAGGGAGGAGGACCTCTTGAGCCTAAGAGTTTAAGGCCACAGTGAGTTATAATTGTGCTACAGCATTCAAGCCTGACAGAGTGAGACCCTGTCCTTAACAACCAGACAAACAAACAAACAAACAAATAAATAAATAAATAACTGGTACTAAATAGTCACCTATCTACATATTATCTACTAAATAAATATCCAACCGGGATTAATTGGCTTTCCACTCCCTTGGCATCATTTAAAAAGAAAAGATTCTGTGGTGCGATTGGAAAATGTCTCTCCCTCTCATCTTTTCCTCTTAGATTACAAGGCTTTTGAAGAAGCAGCAGAGCACTTCCAGCCTTACATTAAATTTTTCGCCACCTTCGACAAAGGGGTAAGTACCCAGGAAGCTCCAATGTAAACAGTTTTGCAGGCATGAAAGATTCCAGTGTGGACTTCTCATCACTTTTTATTTCTTTCATCCACATTAGCCATCCTCCTTTGCCTCTTTCTCCAGAAATGTTAGGACCATGCCAGTAAATCACAATTGAAGGAGAGATGCGTACAGAGAGGATTCATTCAGAGGAAGTAGGATATTTCCAAAAACATTGAGTGAAAGTGGTTGCCCACCCTTCTCATACACAAAGAGTGGTGAATGTGTAAGCCTGGAGTGTGCCAAGCCACTGGAGCCACTGTTGCCTTTTTTCTTAAGAGGTGTCCCCTCCCTTCCTGGGGTCATACACTTCCTCTTCTACTGGGTTAGGACATGGACCAGCATGGGGAAGGAGGAACATTAACCATCAGAATCCTTGGTGCTTTAAAGTTACCTACTTCTTCAGTAGATGTTTTTGATATACTTTTCTATAATCCAATTGCTCTTTATTTTCTGAATGTGAAAAGCGATTTTATTAGCCAAAGAGCAGAAATAGAAAGATCTTGTATAAATGGGTAATTTAGTTGGGTTCTACTGCAGTCAGAGTACTCCCCTCTGGCTCCTGTGACTTCTAAAATGGCTACTATTCATTGAGTGCTTTCTGTGGGTTGGGTACAATTTGACATGTTACATCTATGTTATTCCCAATTCTCTAAATGCCTTTGAAAGTTAAGAACTCCTATTTCCCAGAAAACAGACCTGTAAAGATTACGTGGTATCCAGGGTCTCCAGCAAATCAATGGTGGCACTGGGATCTCAATTTAGGATATTTGTGTCCAAAACTAATGCCCTTTCCTCTATTCTACACGTTAAATTGAAGACCCTATTCCTGCCCTTGAGATTCAGGGTATACGCGCACACACACACATACACATACAAAATGAAAGCCCTAAACCATCGTATTTGCTAGAATAAGCAAATCTAGGACAAACTAAGTTCTTGATCAATTGAAAGTTAATCAGAGATTGGCCCACTAAGGAGTAAGGCAGTGCTCACAGGCTTTTACACTGGTTTCCTCTGGAAACAAGCGGAAGCCAGCATGTGCTGAGGCAGGGAAGGGACATGATGGAAAGAGGTTGCGTTCAGTTCATGCATCTATTGAGCCACTTCTGTGGACGTGGCCCTTTCTTCAAGGATATAATCCAGAAGAGAAGTCTACCAACCAAGTCATATAATCTAAACTTGAAGAAAATGTTCCCTGATTAACTGGATTAGAGGTGGGAGAGGTCTTGAGCAAAAATATGAGTACTTATTATGTGCCAGAGTCTGTGCTAAGAGGTTTACATGGGTTTTCTTAGTTCATCCTCTCAACACCCCTGTAAGGGAGGAATTAGTATTCTCATTCTACAGAGGATAAAGTTGAAATATCGGGAGATTAAGTGATTTGTTCACGGGCACATGGCTAGTGGATTGTAATGCTTGCTATAATCTCATGTCAACCTGACTTCAAAGTCAACACACTGTCCTCCTGTACCCCAGAGAGCGAAGCAGTATACCTAAACGGCTTAGCTTGTGTTTAGCACACAGTAAGCATTTGGTAAATGTTAGCTAGCTGTGAGTGCTATTGTTAGTAAGAAGGCAGTCATCTGGGCCCGGGAGGATGAGATGTTGAATAGAATATTCGTCGAGAAGAGGAGGTACAGAGAGCCCATTACTGACATTTAGTTCTGAAGGGCCAGGAGTAGCTAAAATGGCTCCTGGGGAAGAAAGGAGAGACAGGCAGACCAACCTGACCCAGCAACAAAGCCTTAGTTCTTAGAGGGGTGGCTCAACTCTGGTTTGGGGCAGTATCTGTTTTCAGAAGTGCCTCCAAGTGCACAGACATACAGCTTCATGTCTGTGACCCATGAAGAAGGTCAGGCCAGGCTATAATTAAAAACTCAGAAAGCTGCCTTACTGAGAACTTGGTAAGACACTGAGTCATAAGTACCATGGTTCATGTAGCCATATGAAAGGAGAAAGACACACTGAGGGGTGAGCTCTTGCACTGAGAGGACTCTGATACCACTTGGGACTTAAGAATTTGCACCCATCAGTTGGCGTAAGGGGCTGGTGCTATTCCATGGGAGTTGGTGGGGTCTAGAAGGCATAGCTGCACCCAGTAGTAGCCTCAATGAGAGGACACTAGAGCAGAGGAGGGGAAGTAATCAATGTCATGAGATAGCTGAAATGACTTGTTTGTACAATACATCCTAGGGAATCTTGGAGGGACCTGGCCATGGTTTGCAGAGGTTTGTAACCAGGAGAGACAAGGGACAAGGAGGCACTAATACAGTCACAAAGATGAAAGAAACAACTAGCAAAAGTGGATATGACAAGAGGGCCTGGCTGTTGATGAGATGGAGAGAAAGATAAGAGAATACCTCAAAATAAGATAACAAGTCTTGACTTTGAGACAGCAAAAATTGTGAAGCTACTGAAAATGTTAGGAAATCTAGGAAAAATAGACTGGGAAAACTTTCAGCTGGATGTGTCTTTAAGTTTGGATTATAGCAGACTGTAATAGGGGATAAATCCATCAGAACACATCACAAGAGGAACAAGGAAACATCTCACTAAAACACGTGCAGCATCAAAACAATATTGAAGGAGAAGGTAATTTTCAAGAGAAGAGAAAGTATAATATGGGCCAATGGGAGGTTTGACTTCAGGCTCTGTCTCCTCCAGGTACGTGATCTTGACAAATGGCTTAATTCATTCATTCATTTTACAAGTATTTATTGAGTACTTTTATGTGGCAGGCACTATTCTCAGTGCCAGGGACAAAACACTGAAAAAATGTCCTGCCCTTGTAGGATTTAGGGTTTAGATAAATGTGTCATGTGAGCTGGAGACCTGTAAAGTGGATGAGATGTCAAGGATATTGCTGATACTGATTTGGGAGTCAGTGGTTCCCAATCACTGTCAATATTGGTAACCCCCAAGGAGCTTTTAAAGCCATTAATCTGTGACCCCTTACCCACTCTTGGGTTATGACAGGGTCCATGTATGTGCATTTTCCTTTTTTTTTTTTTTTTTTTTTGAGTTGGAATCTCACTCTGTCACCCAGACGGGAGTACAGTGGCACACTCCCGGCCACCGCAGCCTCGACCTGCCGGACTCCGGTGATCCTTCCGCTTCGGCCTTCCAAGTAGCTGGAACTACAGGTGTGCACTCCCATGCCCGGCTAATTTTTGATTTATTGTAAAGATGAAGTTTCGTCAAGTTGCCCAGG